ACATCATCACCACATGGATCAGCCTGTCACCGAATCCGTTGTCTGCATCGTTCATGAATTCTCATTATCTTGATGAAAACACTCAATCACTCAATCACTCCAAACTCCAGTGGTATAGTGCTGTTACCCCCGCTACCCACCCAACGTCTCCCTATCATTAAGCAATGTTCCCGTATGCACACATGAGAATATCTACAAACGCAGCTGCGAACAGCTAGGCGAAGCTCCTACGCACTAGCGATTGTTGCTGTCATCCTGCTGCCGCCAGATGTGCGTGTCGCCCAGGCTCATTGAGCTGTCCGACGCGGCCGAGGCCGTGTTCTCGGGGGCATTCGGTGTCTCCGTATCCGGGCCGCTCTCTTCGTCGTCGTCCGTGTTATTGTGAACTGGTGGTGGATCCTGGTAGATCCACGGCTCTTCTAGACTGCAAAGAGTTAGTGAACCGAAATGAACCAAGATAGATAAACATACCGAGAGGTTAAGCTGGGATTCGCAAAGGTCAAGCCCTTTTCTTTGTCCTCATCAATGGTGCTGCCGCGCCTGAGCAAACCTTGCGAGGGTCTCGGCCCCTCAAAGTCTTCGTCAAGTACAGCCGCATCCTCAGGGTCAATCTCAATGCGGATGCTGCGCAGAGATATGTATCGCGTAAGCGGCTCGAAACGACGCTTAAAGTAGAAGCTGTACCAGACCGTAAATGCAATCAGAGGTAAGACAGCAATGGACTGGACAAAGGCAAGCGACAGTGCCATGATACTGGAAAGTATCACCTGCGACACCAACAGACCGAGAATGACGCGGTAACTAATGATTCTCCATGCGCCGCCGGTCGCATGCTGAGGCTGGTCCATTGCATAGAGAAGTTGGTACTTGTAGGTAAAGTAACCCAAGATGAAGTAGAAGAGGCCAACGGTCAGAATGAGCCAGCCGAATCCCAATGTGCTGTACAACAGGCACAGCATGAAGATGAGCATTGCCGTCGGTAGGTAGAATCCGTAGCTGAACACAGTTGGTTGCATGATTTCGGCAAAGTCCCTGGGGGTCTTGGCACCCATTCGATAGATCGGGTAGAGGAAGACGCTGCCGACTTGGAGCAGCCTGAAGGGGAAGAGGCCAATGCCTTGAAGCATGATGAAGTTGGTGTAGAATATTCCGAGATCCTGGATCTGCCCGGCAACTTGTCGGGTCAGAGTAGCAGGACTTTTCCAGATATCCTGGATCTGACGAACCAAGTTGGCAACGGTGAAAGCTGCGTTGGAAGTGGCAAAGACAACAAAGATGTTGAAGAAGGTGAAGAAGAAGTTTTTGGAAATGATGGAGAGCTCCACGTCACCCTTGGAGATCATACCTTGCTCGTACGAGAGGTATTCGTAGAGATATGGCACGGCAACGTTCAACAACGAAACGAGAAGCGTTGGCAAGCCGGTTTCGATCAAGGCACGTAGTGTTGGATATTGGTCGAAAAATCCAACAATGCCAGGAAACCATGTCTGGAAGTTGCGTACGCTTAGCAGACTAGCAATAGACGCAACGATTGTCAACCACAGCACGGAGAGAACGGCGACAAATATCGTAATGATCCATGAACGGAGACGACGAATCCCACGAGGTGCGTACGTGTTGGGCCACATTACATCAGAAGGGGCGGGTGCAGGCTTCGTAAGAAGCTGTCCAGGTCGAGGGTCGATGCGGGCCTGGATTGCCATCTGACAAGCGGCGATCGAGTCCATCGTGACGAAGGCCAGATCGGCTGGGGTGAAGTTCTTCTTTCTCGCCTCGCGGATTCTGTCATCGAGGCGTCGCAGCTTCTCCTCGTAGTAGTCAAGGGCGTCTATCTTGCGACTCTGAAGTTTGAGCAAGCCATACCATAGTCTCACTTTGGGGCGCGGTCTCTCGACGAGTTCGGGGTTGATATTTTCGTGCCCTAGTAATCCACCATTCTCTCCGGCCTCCTCGTCGACTTCGTCTTCTCGAGGCTCCAAGACTGAAGGCTCGGCCTGTGGATCGCGGAGGCGCTGGACTGACTTGGGAAGCGCCGCCTGTTTTCCGAGATACACGCTCCAAGTCTCTTCAAGCTGAGCCAAAGCCTGCGCTCTTTGAGCAATGAGCGAGTCGAGCTCCCGCCAGTCGCAGCACAGATTAACATGCTCCACCTCGCCAATTTCTAGCTTTTCGATGAGTTTCTTGATTTTCCCCTCGTCGCGTAGGTTTCGAGGAATGCCAGTAAGGCGGAATGTTCTGTCGGTGATTGTTGACTGTGTGCCGAGGTACTCTTGACGAACATGAATGACTCTAAAGGTCGACTTATTTAGGACGTAGAGGGTCAAGCCCGTGAAGAAGTAGCCAAAAACCAGCCATGCCCATATGTAGCTCTTTGCCATGTTAAAACTCTCGTCGTCGTCCGGAGCAGCCCAGATCGAGTCTGTGTTGTGTGAATGAAAATCCAAAGCGCGAGTCGCCGTCGCGATAGAGGCCGTAGCAGTTCCACTAGGTTTTGGTTTCGTTGGAGGGAAAGTCTCAGGTCCGAGCACGAAATTGATGGGTAGCATCACGGTATACGCGAAGAAGGCCAGTATAGCCAGAATGCGGATAGCCATTTTGAAGAAGGCAAGGAACTGTTCCCGTCAGATTAGTATGCCCGGTCAGGAGTGGTAGCTTCGCACTTACGACAAAGGCATCGAGACCAGCAGAGGCGAGGACTTGCTCCTCAGTGACGCGGTAAAGTCCCGGAATCCACCCAAAGAAGGTATCCGGCAATGCGGGCAACCCGATATTGGGGTCCAGTCTGCGCTTACGCGCGGCGTACAGGGTCGGCCATCGTGGGCGCAAGAAGCAGAAGGTCGTGAATGCTGTGATGCCAAGGACCAGGGACAAGCCGAGCTGGACAAAAATGTCACGATCGCTCGGTTTGATGGCCTCTGGCGGTTTATCTTCAAACACCAAAGATTCCATCTTGCGTGAGGCAGGTCACCCCGATTCGGATGCGACTGATGGAGCTGTTGAGTCGCGAGTCGTTGGGTAGAAATTGGTGATGTGTTGGAGAGACTCCAAATCGTCAGGTAGTGGGTTGAAACAGGTGCTGGGAGCTCCAGGCAAGAGGGAGGTCTCCACTTTCATCCGAACCTGTGACGTGATGATGCGTCGGGTGATTGTGGTTCTGGCGGTATTAGATAAGCAGCGCCACAGTTTTAATGGGGTGGCTGGCATGAACCGGCGCTCCAGCCACACGAGGGATCGAAGGTTGCAAGTGCGCATGCTGTGCCTGCATTCTTCTGCATCAAAATGCACAAATGGGCCCCTCAAGAGTACGGAGTGTTCCGGCAGCCCTATAAAGCTTTCCTTTTGCTATCCGACCATGGTTCCAATTGTTCAATGAGAAAGAGAGTACGCAATATTACGGCCGGATCACCACGGCGTATTGCAGATGACGAATGGGAGACCCTACGGCACAGCTTACCTTCCTGCAAGCCACTTTATCTTAGATTTGATACGCGGTGCTTCAAGATACACAGTCTTTACTAGGTATATATCTGCAAGACAATTACCTTATTGACGGCCAAGACGGACGACTGCTCGGCTGCTCCCTTAAAAGTATTGGCGATCATCGGCCCCACTGCCGTGGTGCGGGACCTAGGTAGACCGGCGCTCTCCCGGCGTATTTCGGCCCTTCCACTCTGTTCACCACCGCTGGTCCGAGAGAGATACTTACCTCCATTCTTGCGGGGGAATAATTCAGAGCTCATGAAGTGATGTTGCAGGGCTTACACAGCCACGCGGCGCTCTGTCTAGCGAGTTTTGATGCCCGGTGCTGCAGGCGAGCTGCACGTCGAGCGACCACGCCGAAAAGCTTCACCGTGAGACAGCACAGCCTCAACGAGGAAGTCGTTTGGCGGAATTTCCCATGCTGTCTCTGTTCCACGGTCGGAGTATTTGGCAGCAATTACCAAGTGCTCGGACGACCGAAAGTTGAGATGGATGGAAAATTCCGCCTCAAAATTCCAGAGGTTTCAATGCGTTCCTGGTGAAAGTGCCATCTGGGCGAGCCGCGCACTGACACGTAATGTTTGCAGTGTGCCCATCACAGACATTGCAACCATGTTCCAGCTTCGTGCATCGTACATCGTGCATTCATACCGATTGTTGGGAAGGCGGTGCATCGCGGTGTTGTACCTGTTCTTCGATTCTTTGAATGATAGTGTGGTCATCTGCAGTGGGCGACAAAGAGCAAGATCATCGGGCGCCAGTGGCTACAGAGACTTGGCGTCTGCAGGGCGCCTTGAGTAACACCGTTTGCAGTACAGAGTACAGAGAGGCATGACGCCCAAAGACGCAGACGATGACAACTGATGCGCCCATCTGCGCATGGCCAGATATGGCTTCTGCAGAAAACATGTCTGGATTTGGCGCATGTACCTACAAATGCTGTGGATGGTACTCCGTCGGAAGGGTGTTTGTTGAAGTTGAAAACAACGACATGAGAAACGGGAGCAAAGAGCAGGCAGCAAAAGAAATAAAACGTCTTGCTTCAGTTGAGACTCGGGCGAAACAGTCTGCAGGGCCACTCGAGTGCCAAGATGCGGCCCGGCCGGGGGCGAGTGCAGCGCGGGTGGCTCTGATGCAAAGACGGTCGAAGAACCATCTCATTTATTTGCTTGTTCTTGTTCTGGCCGGCCGCCGTTCTTTTTTATAACCGAAACTTCAGCAAACTTCATGGAGGGAAAGGGAGCGGTGGCCATTGCCTTTGTTATCGACGGTTCTGGATTGGTTCTCCTAGTGTCACTTTTCTCTCATGTCAAAGTCTCAGTCTCGAGGTTCCCTGTATTTGGGTCTGTAAGCGGGCATCCGTACCTAAATTGAAGTGACAAACTGCGTCCGGCGACATTTGGAGACGTTCCCAAGGTTCCTCGAGACGACCCGTCCCTGCCGCCGTGGTTATTAGCGCTCGTCTTCCCGCCCCTTCCCCTCCATTTGCCCAGCTCCCGCCCTCCCTTTTCCCCAGTCCAGTCCCGTCCAGACTCCAGACTTCCAGCCCACCGCTGTCCCGCATCCCCTCCCGAGTCGCTCTTTCCCGACGCTGTGGAATTGGGATCAGCTCTTACCTTCCCCATCCAATTGGACTGCACCTTCCTCCAAACCGACCTGCATTGGATGCACCTGCCTCCACGGCTTTTGTCGGCCCACAACCGGTACCAAGTACATCGAGAAAAAGAGGAAGCAAGGAGAAAAAAAAAAAAAAGAGGGAAACCACTTCCCCGGTCGTTCCACTCCTCCCGGATTCGCCAATCGACCACGAAAATTTCGGCAATTTCCAATCTTTTCTGCCCCATTTCACGAACCCCTCCATGCCCCTCTCTCCTCCACAGACTGCCCGCCGACATCGACGACGATCTCCGAGAGCAATTGAGAGCAAGGGACATGCTCGATACACTCAAGATGAGCGAGACCCAATTAACCTTTGGTCGGACTGACGACTACATCTTCATCTCCAAGCCCAAGAAGGGCATCGCTTATGTTGAGGCCCGTTTTAAGGATGGCAAAGGTGTACGTTCTGCCCCGCAATGCTCATTTTCACGAGCTTTTCCCCCAAAGTTTTGTCGGACAATTGCTTACAATGAGAACAGCTTGCGCAGACAGACAAGGGATGTCAACTGGTATGTTCTGTTTTCTGATATGAATCTCATTGATCTCATTGTCCGTCATCTAACGTCCCTCAGCTTCTCTCGAAACTTGAGAGAGAATGGAGCGCACCCAAACTCAAGGACGACACTGTCATCTCACTTGAGGCAGACCTCTTGAAGGAGCCAGTTTGTAAGTTTCCTCATTCTCCTTTGGGATCGCATTGCTTACCATCTACATAGTCCACAAGGAGATTCCAAGCGACATGTTCCACTCTCTTCGTGTGGTTGAGTTCCAAGGCCTGGATCCATCTACTCGTGTCGTCTCTATCCGCGACGTTGCCATCAAAGTCAACCTCTACGGGTGCACTCCAGAGTCACCCTCCGAGTCGGATGATGAGTTGGTGGACATTCTTGCAAGCGCCACTAAAGTCGATGGCATCTGGGAACTGTAAGAATACCTCTCTCGACTATATCGTACATATTACTGACCTTTCGGCTCTCTAGATGCTGAATCTGATCGCTTGCTAGCTTGGTCACTGATTAAGCTACTTCATCTCAAATCAGCGAAAGGGACGGAACTACCGTAGCCGTTCCCCATGAACTGGGACCCGGCACTTTAGTTGATCTCTCCCGACGTCATCCCATACCGCCGTGCTGCTCACTGGGGGACCTCCGAGGTCCGGAAGATTGCTCGGCCGAGAACGCCGAACACCCCATCACCAGCTACCATCGTGGGCGATGTTGAGAGCATCGACTGTTATCGCGAACCCGATGATGTCGAGCCAGGAGTGTGCATGACCTAATTATGTGCATCACAAAGGCTCATTCTAGCAGCCTTAAGAACTTAAGGGCGCGACACAACGCCTCGGCCAAAGCCACACACAGCATGATCGACAGGCTCGACGACTATCTCTACGATTGACCATACGTCGTATCGACGAACTACGGCAGGACGTGTCGGAACATGCAATGGAACTCCGATGCATGGAGTTGCAAAGGTCGACGGACGATGAGTCTGAGCAACATCGGCTCCTCGTCAGCTTGAACGACATGCAGCTCTCGCACATGATATCATTATCGAGATAGACAGAATCGAGGACTTGGGTTCCTGCGTGCCCTGTCACGGTTGTTGCTACCAGTGTCGAGAGAGATGGATGCTCCGGGCGAGGTTGACGCAGAGGTCCGTCAGCTTCGGCGCACCATAAACATACTGTCATCACCGATAATGAGGTTTGGTGATGATCGTTGAAGACCTTCAACGCATGACGAGAAGGACTGATATTCGATTGAACCTCTTACGGCCTTTTGATACTTATTGGGCTTATGCTGGACTCAGTGAACGTTGGCTGTAGTCATTAGAAGTAGATCAATGAAATGAGGAATTCTCGATCCCAATAATCTCACACTCGTCTAGCCATCTTCTCAGCACATCAACGAATCACGCAATCGCATTGTGGCAATCATCAACCAAGCGATCCTCTTGAGGGGAAAGCTTGAGACCTAAGGGTCTGTCTCGTTGCATTCATCCAGGGTTGTTGCTCAGCCGAGACACAGGTCTCGGCCAAGCATCAAGATCATAGCGCCTAGAATTGCCATGCTGAACTAGCGACTTCAGCCGTCGCGTGCCGTTCCCTTCACCGGCAAATGCAGTGTTCCTAATACTGTTAGAACGAGGGGTCTAGACCAGCCAGAGATTCAGCTTCACCGAAGATGCCCAGAGTTTTCCTTGGGAGGAAAAGTGCTTGCATCTCATACGGTGAGTCGGTCAAGTTCTTTGGGGGTTCCCCGCACTTGATCTGGACGCCAAGCTGAAAATTCTAGGAACTCTCGCTTCTGCTATGTCTTGGATGGGAACCCGAAAACGGCATCGATCAATAACGGGCGGGAATGGGTCCATGGCGGATCGCCCCCAATTTCGAAAGGATGATATTGGTGAAATTCCCAATGATGAAGCCAAAAAGCCATCAATCGAATTTGTTTGAAATACAGTGTGTACGTATGATTTTCTTGTACTTGATTGAATGGATGGAGTCGTTGTAGCAGGTATCGACCTGGCCAATCGGTAGCACTTTCAACTGACAAACCACGACTTAGTAGACAACGTCGTACGACTAAACAAACCATGATTTAGTGACCCCCAATCCAAAATATCTATCAAAGAGCTTGAGAGAAGAAGCTGTTCCAGCTGCCTGCGGATTTCGACCAATCGCATGATCAGCTTGAGTCACTACCGGCGTCTCTCTCAACATGGAAATTTACGTTCTCAGTGTTTCCAGGGATGGCATTCAGCTGGCGCTAAGCAAGCCTCAAACAAACCCCCACCGCCGGAGCAACACAGTCCATGTATGCAGACACCGCTTTCGAGAAATGGAGGTTTCCGTGATACTCGCAAGTATGAGCCATGTTCTAGGAGACTGAACCTGACGAGGAGGAGATGGTCCTGGCCAGCTCTGTCTCGGCCGCTTCAGCTTTCAGGCAGACAGCCACAGGATATTTCAGCTGCCGGTAACGAAAGCCTGTCTTCGTTCGTTTCTCACGCCATACGCAAGACTTCAAGGCGGAAATGCTTGACCGCGCAATATTCTGAACGCCCAAAAATCACATAAAAGCCTTCAAAAGGACCGTGAAGAAGCATAACTCGAATCTTTCTTCAGACTATAAGATGCTCATCATCGACCTCGTTGCTCGACTCTTCTGGTTTCCCTTCAAGCCATTCAGACGATATCTCCCCCCTTCTCCTCCTTCTCCTGCACCTGGTTTCAAGCCCGCACCTCCTCGCACTCAACCTAACTCACCTCCTGCCAACAAACCCGACTCTCTTGTTGTTACCATCAAGCCTTCCAAGATGTATATCTACACGGGCAAGCTCAACTGGGATGGCGACTCTGCTCAGGCCAAGGACGAGACTTTCATAATCATTTTGCCCAACGGTCACGTCAGCAAGGATGATGTTGCCTACGTCTTCTTCCAGTGGACCAAGAACGAGTACGGCCAGGAGAACGTCAACTGGTTCCAGACCTTCCCTATCGAAAACTTCAGAAAGATTGGAAGCAATGGAAACACCGACAACTTCCAGCTCAACCACCACAAGTACAATTGGAATGTCTTCGCTCTGGACGGATACAATACACTCGAGGTCGGCATGCAAGGACCAGGGTTTAAGAAGAATCCTGTGAAAATCACCCTCGAGCGCGTCTGGAACTCCGAGTCTCACGGCGGAAAGGCTAAAGACATCCCGCTGGTCTGGACCGGCAAGGTCAACTACCAGGAGAGCGCTAAGAACGAAATGGCCATGTTCGTTGTTCCCGAGGGCTTCGGAGCCGGACGACCTGTCGTTGCGCTTTGGCAGTGGTACCGGTTCAACCTTCCCAAGAACGACCCCAACATCATCTGCTACGAGCCGACCGACAAGTCCCCGCCAAGAGTCTCGTTCGTCCAGTACGGCACACAGAACATTGAGCATGAAAGTGAGGAAAGCGTCCAGTTCAACTTCAAACATGACTACGAAGTTTTCGCCTCCTGGAGTCAGGGCAGTGGCAAGCTTGCCCTCCGCTTGAAGGAGCCCGATTCCAAGACTCCGCAGAATCTTGGAGAACTCAGCCTTTCTGGTCGTTTTGATCGCAAGTCCTTGTAAGATTTCCCGTTTTTCTTCCTCTGTATGAGGTATATGCACTAATTACTGATGAACCAGTGGCTTTCACCCCCCTGAGTCGAAGCCAGAGCACCTCAAGCTGGATGTCAGACTCCCTCAGCCTCAACCCTCGCTGCCTCGCATTACCGGCAAGATGCCTTTCCCTGAGACTCTTACGGAGACTCTGGCACACACTGCCGCGTTTGTCGACCAAGCCGGCTACCTTGCCAAGTACGCTGAGGAGGTACGTTTCCGCACATCTTCATCTTCATGATATTTTCTCATGCTTACACCGTCCCTCAGCAATTCAACGCTCTCAACGCCAAGTATAGTCTGCGTGGCCAGCAGCTGGATGCTGTCAAGGCCAAGAACGCCGGCCTTGAGAAGGCCATCGATCAGACGAGAGCCGAACTCCAAGCCGAGAGGATGAGTCTTATGGAGCTGGAGAAGCTCCTCACCGCCGCTCAACAGGCAAGAACCGCCATGGAGGCGGCGTTCAACAAGAAGATTGAGGAGATTCTCAAGGAGAACGCAAAGAACAAGGACCACGAGGACAAGGATCACCAGATCATCAAGAAGCTGCAGGATCAGATCGCCTCTGAGAGAGATAAACTCAATGACCGGATCAACAAGCTCCAACAAGATCTCAACAAGTCTAAGGCTGAGTTGATCAACACAAAGTCATTGCTCCTGACTGCCTTGAACGAAGTACGGAGCCTGAAGAGAACTATCTCTCAGTTGGAAGGCAAGTTGGAGGCATCTAACAGTGACAGAGATGGCCTGAGGACCAAGGTCAGGGTTCTTGAAGCGAACAAGAAAAAGACGGAGATCAGCTTGGGGGATGCTGAAAGAGCTCTTGCTGTTGCCAAGAGCCAACTAGAGAACGAGCGAAAGCAACATGCGAAGGAGCTTGCGGATCAAAAGGCGGCCGCCGACAAGGCTGCCGACAAGGCCGCCGAGGCCGCCGAGGCCGCCGCTAAGGCTAAGGCTGAGGCTGAAGCTGAGATTCAGAAACTGCGAGCTCAGATTCAGGAGGATGATGACTTCCATGAGCAGGATAAGAAATTCGTGGAGGATGATGAGCAGCGTAAAATCAACTTACGGAGACAATACGACGAGCTCACCAAACAGTTGGACGCGCCGGCGCCTGTCAGACCCGTCTGGAAGGGGCGTCATTAAACAGACTCTGAGGGATCCCGGATTTGGAACTGGACTTGGGAACTAATCATTGTTATTCTTTGTTATGGGGCTTTCAGTCTGTCATTCTATTTTGTATTTCATTCTGTCTTTTGTTAGCAAAGATAGTACGCTCACTTAATATTACCGCACGGGCTGTTACTACCGCAATAACGTTCGAGAGACTGCAGTATAGCCAAACATTCGAAGATTGTGGTCAACAAAGAATCGACTGCTCTCTCTACGTCTGAGGCTGGAATGATAGTAGAGTTGTCAGGGTGCTGGCCTGCAGGCAACGCAGAAATGATAGACATTAGAAAACCGAACAGGAGTGTTCCTTGGTGTTGGAAGGAAAATCTAGAAAGAATCTACAGGAGAAAGCAAGAGTTTATTATTTTTGCATCGAGTTGAATAACAGACTCGTCATGATACAGGTGATACTTACCGTCGCCATCTCAATCCTCAATGCGGCAAACAATGAGCGCAATCACTACACGACGAATAGATGGTATCAGTCCAGTACAGAAGCCCTTATCTTTGGGCACCGAAGAGGGAGGGATAATCATTACCGGCGGCTTGGACACCGCGCTGGTACTACATTAAATAATAGAAATTGGATGGGCCTTCTTTCGCTTGAACAAAGAACTGTCATGCACCATTTATTTCATGACGGCGTCAGTTTCAAGATCGTGGCTGGGTTAGCGGACTTAAGACGGCACGAGGTAGACTCTGGTTGCAAAAGTATTTTTTGGGGGAAAGATTCGATTGGAATTAAACTACGAAACCAACATATTCCAGCACAGCACCGCCATCTAATTCCAACCACACAAAACCCCTCGACATAACATCATTATGTATTTGCGTGTATGTATAACTCTTAAATCTCCTTGACAAACCCAACCTCAACAACCCGATCCATCGCCAGCCTCAGGTTCGCAATCTTGGCCCGGGTATTATCCCGAATCCACAAGAACGTACCCAAGGTGAAGCGCCGAAGAATACTCGTTCCAGTACGAATATGCATCTGTCCCTTGCCGACGATATACAACACCTTTTGCGAGTAGGCACGATCCAGCTTCGCCAGCTCGGCCGCGACCTTCTCGTCTCGCAGCTCCACGGGCCCCTCAGTGTCTTCCCACGAGCCGTCCGTCGTCGTCTCTCCGCACGCAGCGGCCGCCTTGCTCGCCGCCTGCTGCACGACAAACTTGCGCACCTGCTCGTAAATCAACGCGCCGAGATCGGGGCTAACAACTTCATCCATGAAGCCGTGGCGCACGACGAGGCGGTAGCAGCCCGCGAGATTTGCGAACCGCGAGATGTGATAGCGCTCCGAATCGGGGACGGTGGGAACCTCGACGGGGTGAAGATGGAAGAAGACCGCCACGTCGGGGAGCGCGCCGAGCTTAGAGGCAAAGTGCGTGAAAACACTGGGCGTCTGCACGCCCGTCTTGTCGAAGAAGATACCGAAGCCGCTGACGGGGGAGAGAACATCGCCGCCCCAGCGCTGCGTCAGCGCAAGCATGCCCTCCTTGTTCTTGGTGACGAGCGTGCTGGGCTGGAACCGGTCCTCGGCCTCGGCGCGCCACTGGTTCTCCTTGCCGAAGCGCCAGAGAAGGAACATGCCGGCCATGAGGGCCGAGATGAGCAGCGTGAACCACGCGCCATCGGGAACCTTGTTGAGCGCCGAGGAGAGGTAGAGGCCGTCGAGGGTGGCGAACATGAGGGCTGGCAGGGCAATGAGCCAGACTGGCAGGCGCCAGACGAGGATGGCGACGAGGGTGACCATGAGGGTGTCGAAGAAGGTGACGAAAATAACGCAGACGCCGTAAGCGTGACCCAAGCTAGTCGTGTTGTTGTAGACTGCCGTGACGAGGATAGTGCCGAGCATGAGGAGCCAGTTGAGCAGGGGCACATAGACCTGACCGTGGAAGGTGGAGGAGGTGTGGACGACCTTCATCTGCGGGCAGTAGGAGAGCTTCATGATCTGGCTGGAGAGCTGGAAGGTCGCCGTGATGATGGCTTGCGAGGCGACGATGGCGGCGAGCACAGCGAGGATCAAGCTCGGGTAGAGCATGCCGGGCGGGACGGTGTTGAAGAAGGGGTTGGTGTACTTCTCCGGCATGAGGGCGAGGTGAGCGGCCTGTCCGCTGTAGGCGAGGATCAGGCAGGGGTATGTCCAGAGCAGCCAACTCATCTGCACGGCGCGCATGCTGAATGCACCGAGATCGGCGAAGAGGGCTTCGACACCGGTGAAGCAGAGGAGAACGCCGCCGAGCATCCTCCATCCCTCCGTCTTCTTCTCCATGAAGAAGTGGATCGCGTAGTAGGGGCTGAATGCCTTGAGAACGGTGTAGTCGTACTTTACGAGGTTGTAGATACCAAAGGCACCGTTGAAACCCAGCCAGATGATGACGATGGGCGCGAATGTGGTGGCGAGCTTGGTGGTGCCGAGGGGCTGGATGAGGAAGAGCAGGACGAGGATGCCGCAGGTCGTGCCGACGATGGTGGAGGTGCTGATATCGGGCTTGACGACGGAGAGACCTTGAATGGCACCCAGGACAGACTGCGCGGGCGTGAGGATACCGTCGGCGATGACCATGGAGACGGCGAGGACGCCGATGGTCTTGAGGAAGCCTCGTGTGAATTTGGACTTTTCAATGGCGGATCGGATGCCGCGGGTGACGGGGCGGACATCTTGGGTGTTGTGGCGTTCGATGCGTACTGTTGCTTCTTCGCGGGGATCAAAGTTTGTGATGTTGGCCTTTGTGATGTTAGAATCCGTACCAGGAAGGGGAGCATTAAGTCTTGGAGGTTCATTCGACTTACAAATCGGGTCAAGAGGGAGTAGCACGAAAAGGTACCACCCTCTCCCTCATTATCGGCATGCAACACGATGAAGACATATTTGACCGTGACCATGAGAGTGAGAGACCAGATGATGAGAGACAGAACCTGAATGAGGTCGTTCTTGGTGGGAAGATCAGTGAAGGTGGACGAGTAGACGTAGAGAGGACTAATCCATTGTTAACAAAACAAGGAACTCCCGCATATGTTTCTTGATATAGACTCACCTGGTTCCAATGTCGCCGTAGATAACACCAATAGACTGGTACGCAAGCCTTCCGAACCCGTCAGCATGTTACTCTCCCTCAACTCTTGACAAATAGAGCGCGTCACGGCCAAACAACATACCACATCAAGGTCGTGCCAGTGAAAACCTGCTTCTTCCTCCCGTCATCGCGACGCCAATCGTCACCACCATCATCAGCCTCGGCATTTGATTCCCTCGTAATAGCGCGCGAGAGGCGGTTCGAAGCGACGCGGTTCAGGTCGCGGCTCGAGTAGATACCGCCGGCGATGCCAGAGCTGGAGCCTCCATCTGGACCGGGGCGCGGGAGCGTAGACCACTCGTCGACGGTCGAACCGGACTTGTGCTTCTCGAGCTTGTCTTCGATTGTGATTCTAGGAGCGCTCGGGGTTGTTGGGGTGCCTTGGGCGTCCATGCCAGACTGGAATTCTATTTCAGGGGGTGGAAAGGTTGAGAAATGGGAAAGGAGAGGAAAAGAGAAGGCGCCGGCGTAAAGCACAGCGAGCGGGAGATGAGACCTAACAAAATAGCAGGATCCTGAGGGCAGAGGATATCTAGCAATGTGGTAAAAGGGGAACGTCACAAGAACCAATACACGGTAACATTGCTCAGGTGAAGATTGGAAGGGCGGGATGCGACTTCTTTAAGTCCCGGGAATTTGGAATGACAGGGTCTCGATGTTTCTGGGTTGCCCTACCCTAATCGCAGGATTAAAATCTTTGTCTCAAAAAGACAAAAGACAAAGACGGCAAAGTTGGATGAAGGAAGGGGAGAGAGTGGGGGTGCCATGAGGGATCTTGGTTCATCTTGCCCATCTTGGGGACCCTCGAAGAGAGTTACAGAGGCAGGCCAGCATGGCGGTCAAGGCTAGCCCGGCTAGTGTAACGGGAATTTCGATGCATCCTTGATGAAGCGGCCCTAGTACCGACGCGGCCTCTACCTTTTTGTCAATTAGCCCCGGAGAGCAAAAGCCACCGGGCCCATATTAGCATCGAGGGACGACTGGGTGGTCGACAACGACGGCCATCCCCGGGGGTGGCATTCCAGGAATCCAGCCCACTTGTCCCCCTTCCCACCTTTCTTGACGTTACCCACCTCGGGGCCTACTTGTGAGATCCCATGTGGCATGTGGCGTGCAGGTTTCCCATCTGCACATATATGCACGGGCTTATCTGTGAACAGACGGGGATGCCCCTCCCCTTTCTGGTGCTTATGAGAAAGAGTTTGATGACAGAAACAAGACTGTCACAAGCTTTCTTCGATAATGGATGGGGGTTGGCCTTCGGAAGCGGAGCGGCTATGACTAGGTGCTCTTCCTTCGGCTCTGGGGTTGGATGGGCTCGTGTAGTGTACTTCAGGCGAAGTGCGGCAAGGTGTGCCGGGTGGGAGGAAGGCCGGACGATGCAGGTGAGGGAACGAGCGCCCGCTGCCATGTATGTGCCGACCTGCTCTAAGTAGGCTGTATCTATCCAGTGGTGATGATGAACGTTTTTTCTGCGAGACTGCTTGCGAGTAGGTAGACTGGGTAGAGGGGCCGGCTGGCAGGGGTAGCTTGCGTAAAGGTAGGGGTAAAGGCGGCTCTCCTCCAGTCAAGAAATGGTGGGAGGGCACGCAGTACCTAGTGTGTTTGACTCCCTTTTCGAGACTAAGAATGCGGTGTTCGCGGGGCCCGTAAACATAGTTGAGTTGGTGGTGTCCATTTGTACACTGCCATTGAGGCAGCTTCAGCGGCTTGGGCAGCCAAAGGATGAGGCTCGAAACATTTGGCTTTCCATGGCAGAAAACGGGCCACACTCGCAAGAATGATGACGGCGTCTCTGCCCCTCTCTCTAGCAAAGCTTGTTAAAGGTGGGATGCCGCTGGCCATGTTGTCTCTTGCTAAGAGTGTCTAGCGCATTTTCAGCTCTCGACTTCTACACCCTCTCGCGATGCTAGGTCTGTCTGAGCTGTTCGTTT